AAAAAAAAAAAATGTAAGCCGTCCATCCTTCTTTGGAAATATAGTATTTTGTCTAATGGCTGTCTAAATAATGGCTGAGAAAAGCCTTGTTGCCAGTATTAGGCTCTATTCCCATAGATTTTAGATCGATCTAGCCCCGCGGGGAGTCTCACTAGATTACTTTCAGAAAATCCGACTTAAATGTCCGTCCCGCCTACTACAAGCTGTAAGGAGGTAATTAACTTTCGTGTTCGCCCGGCTGACAGCTATTTAGCGTGAACCCCCTGAGTTAGGTCGATCTAAAGTAGGTCAACCCAACTAGGCCCCTGTAGCGACGGCAGGTGTGGAGGTGGGGAGACCAGCAGGGAATGACCAACATGGCTTTAAAGTGGGGTCAGCCATGTTTAGTTGGCGGATCAGTAAGATCATCTGCGCTCTTTGTTTGATCATGATGTAATTTTAATTTCAGGCCAGGCTGATCGTCTACGAGATGGTCTTAATACAAACAACCAGGGTTACACTCGCCCTGCAGCGCGAGGGGAGCTGAAGAGCACTTACAGAGGCCGGAAGAATAATGACGTGAAACCTGATAGAGTTTTACAAGAACCCCATGAGTGGTATGACAAGTGCCTGGTCAGGGAGAGGAATAAAGGTACAGGTTTATGTATAGAAATAAAGGGACACCTGGTAATTATTTAATATCATTTGTTCCCATCAATACAATGATTTCCTGAGCTGATTTTTTAAAAATTATAATTAAAATTGATAAATATTCCACAACTGTGGTGTTGTGTTATATTTTTAAATATCATTTGCTGCCATAAATGCAATTATTTCCTTATCAGAATTAATCATTGCAGTTAAAATTAAAATTAGTATATACTTAACAACTGTTTCATTTTAGGACTTTTCACAGCCGATCAGAAATTGAAATCCAACAGTGGGCTTGGAACAAGTGGCGCCATCTACACAAGACAGAACCCCAATGGTAACAGGCGTGGCTATGAGTGCCCTGAGGAGAGAGATTACTACCCTTACTGGCACCCGACACCATGGAAGGACATAGCAGTGCTGGCAGAGAATGCATCAATGTGCAAGTGAGTGGATGGCATGATCATAGTAATCTCAAGTGTCTTAATAAATATAATGATATTGTAGTGAAAAAAATGTTTGATATACTATTTTATTGGTAAATATGAAAGTTCACATAGCAAGCGCACAGTTTTTAAAAGTAATAAAGAAAATTTCAGAATGAATACATTTTTTTAAATGTTGAAATGTACATCGTTTTAGAAACTTAAATGTTTGGTTATTTTGATTTTATTAAAGATCAGTTGGCAACTCATTCCATTTTATTCTTTTTTTTTTTTTGCAATAAAAAAGCCTTTTTTACCCATACAAAACTAAAAGTATCAGTGATTAAGGTTTCTCAGTGTTATGGAGATTCCCCCCCCCCCCCCCCCCACCCACCCACATTTATAAAAACACACAAGCATAGTTCTTTATATAATTTCAGCCATTACCAGACCAAGAGTTTCAATGTCCAGTCCTATGGTGAATGTGTGGAGTATTACACTGGGAATGACAGACGCCATTTTTCAAGATGGAACAACCAAACGAAGTGCGAGTCTGAGCCAGGAAACAGATGGGTGGAGTTTAGCAATTATCTGGAAAAGGCTCCTCGTAAGTTTAAATAATGTTTTAATAAAGTCAAACAATTTCTTAATCAGAATTTGTTTGATTTTCTGTGTACTATTCGTCTCCAAAAAGCCACAAATACTTCAAAAACAACTTTTTGATCAGTCATAGAATAGTTACATAAAATATTAATGATCTTTTCTTCATAGGTTATACTAGTGGGCCAGCATGCACTGGGGCATCAGGGAATGGAATCCAGTATATTTGGGCTATCCCTTACGACTCTCCTGACGGGATCACCAAGGAGTGCCTGGTGGCTCTGAAGCAGCCAGAGTGTGTGGAGGCACCTTGGACCAGGTCAGATGGAAATGAATTATTTATTTTGAATAAAGCAGTTATTATACAAACATAAATAACTGACAGCCCTTACTACCTAATAATTTAAGAAAATACAAGTATGTTGTTAGATAATGATTTTCATGTACTTGTCAATGTTTTGTATATTTTGAGGATTTACTTATTTTTCCTGTGTTGGTAATGCTGGTTCCATAATGCGTTCGTGCTCATATTACCAGTAAATGTTTTGCAAGTAAGCTATAAAATGTAATTTGATAGGGCCTGTTTTATAGTGAGCTAATTTTGTGACCAACAGCTTGCTGCAATGACTATTACTGGGCTTAAGATTGGTCAGTGAATAAATTTGTATTAGGTTTAGTTTGTGTTTTTAATATAATATTATATATATTATAATTATATTTTATATTGTTATGAAATTAGGTCCAATCACCTGGGTAATGGCAGAGACGGTGTTGCCAGCAACTACACCTGGGTGCTGCCTCACTTTCCTTCAGGGAAACCACAGAGATGTGTACTGAGAATAAGGTGTGGTAAAAAATTTGAAACTCATTGATGCATTGTTTCTGAAGCCTCTTCAGTGTATGAAATAATCTAAATGAAGCTGTTTTTACAAAAGGGTGCAAGGGAAAGGAGATTTTTCTCAGTATAATGCCAAGTATATATTTTTCAAGATCAGTCAGTAAATAATAAGAATATAGGATCATGATTATAATTCTTAGTATTAATGATTCAAAATTAGATGCCAAAATTTCATCTGTCTTTGAACTTTTCAGGTACAACATTTCCACAGATGACTTTGACCCATATTTCACAGATGCTGAATCCAACAAAAACTTGTAAGTTTTACCACTAGAAAATGTTGTTCCATTCACTGACCATTCTGTTAAACAACATGGTGTACTTAAAGAAGTTATGAGATAAAAATATAGTGTATTTTAATTTTGTGCATTTACTTTGTAGATAAAATGACAAATCACAGCTGCAGTTGGCAGAAAATGTCCGTAAATTTTAACAATAGGTGGCATCACACATCATGCCATTTTAACACTAGGTGTCAGTGCCAAAAAGAAGTGCAATTTCCATTTAAAACATTTCAGATGGAAAGGAGTTATGTCTCCAGTGGAACAAAACCCATATGTGGAAATAGGCGCTGGTCACTCTCCTCTGCGATTAGCCATCAACACAGCTCAGTTTGGGCGTACCTTTCAAGATCGCTCCCATGTTTTCATTTTGAAGCCACGACCCGCGGGGACAGAGAACCACAACATCTACAATCTCAATGTGAGGGGGAAGAGAGGGAACATTGTTCAAGTGTACCCAGCTGTGGAGTACGACTTCATACCTAACATGTTGTCCATGACTGAAAATGACTTGGTTCATATTCAGTGGACAGGTAATGCTTCTTGTTACTTATATTTTCCTACTGATATTTCAGTAACTAAAAAAAATTCCATATAAAAAATAGGAAGTTGTTAAAATGGTGTGTATATGATTGCTATTCTGTTTAAAACACGTGGTTGTGAGAGTCAAGGAACGTACCAGTATAAAAAATTTTAGGTTTAATTTCATTTTTAGAAAGTGGGGATGTGATATATAATTGCGTCATCTTTGTCAGTGATTCATCTTTTGAAAACAACAGAAACAGTGTAGTCCCTCATATTTGCACAGTAATGAAAAGCTTGTTTAAAACTACCTATTTGACTTAAAAGATGTTTTTTCTTCAGGTTCCAATTCCCACAACAACGGTGCTCCTGGTGGTGACGGTCAGACAGGTGACGCAGGGGAGGGAACCACAGGTATGGCTGTAATCATGTGGTTGGGGTTAAATGTACTCATTACAGTTTGGTATTCTTCATTGCTTTGTTACTCAGTTATACTTGGCTCTTGTGACAAGTCTTCAGTGGCATTTTAGTTTTACGTTCACAAACTTATTTATCCAATTTTATTTTGATACCATATGGTTTGACATACTCTGGAAGGTAAATACTATTAACGAACAAGAATTTTTCAAAACTTCCAACCAACATAATTATGACAGTGTATTTATTTAATAAACTTTATTCATTGAGGATAAAATTCGTCTACCCATGACCCTCGATGGATAGTGTAGTTCATGTACATCTAATGATTTTTGCATTCATTTCAGGAACAGACAGAAACAACATTGTTCAGATTGGAGTTCTGGACGAAAACTTTCCCCTGACCTTTAATAAAACCACCCTGTGGAAGAATGCAGAAGTGAAATGGATATACCATGGCAAGAATATCAACACCCCCAAAAATCTGGCCCTAAACATGGCTTCCTCTGGCTATTATCAGTAAGGAATTATTATAGATATTTTATGCTGTATCATTATAACCTTAGTTCTTTACTTTTGTGTGAACGGTTTCTGTCAGAGTTCTGTGTGTTTCATTTGTACATTTTCCCTTATGGATTTTCCTTGGGTTGCTTTACCTTTTTCGTTTTCACTCAAAGATACCTTGATGTCATGGTGAACTTCAAGTATCAAAACAAGCAATTTCATTACATGTGAAAAAAACTTATCTTGAATTTTTGAATATTGCAGATGTAAAATGGCCAGTGAGTGTGCCAGTGAATCAGCCGAGAGAAAAACAAAGATGAACAATCTCCTCAACAATGCCCCTGCGTCTTACGAAGGAGCCCTGCTGAAACTGAAGAAAGGAATCTACCACTACATTTGTTCCAGAAATAATAACTTCACCAACAGAAGTCAGAAAGGGACCATCATCGTGTTGTAGGATTTAATAAAGATAGAGCAACAGCATTGATGATCAAATACCAGTCCCATACCAAGGCTTTTTTCCAATCTTTTATTGTGAACAGATTCTAGCAATCCAGTCATCATGATATTTTTAAAACAGGTTCCAAGGTTTTTTGGTCATTTCGGATCCCTCGATTTACAAGTCTGAGGCAAATACTCAATCCTATTTTTTTTTCAAAAATATACTTGTATTGGCAGTAAAAGTCAAATTTCCTTTGCATCTTTTTTATTTAGGAAAAGAGGTGAAACAGTTCACAATGTATCAATTTTAGACAAGTAAATTCTTGGCGTTGTCATTGCATTTTCTTAGAAATGAAAATAACAGTACTGTTACATGTAATGGCTGTAGCAGTGAACTATAAACGACTTATCCTGTAATTAACATCATGTCAGTGTTCACGTACAACTGCCATTCCGTCTCATGCATAACCTTAACACGAATTAGATTTTTATCCTTTCTGATTTATAGTGAACATTCCAAATCCAGTAGTAATTGTGTAAGTGAGGACTTATGTGTATGTTTTGTAATTGTTGTCAGTAAGGTGTAGTATTTACATCTTAGTATAAGACTGATCTGCTGGACGGATCAGTGGAATTATTTGTGTATCCAATTTGGAAGGAAATAAATTCTTTATTCTGGTTATAACAAGTCTTAAAATGGTTTTTTATTGCATTATTGCCTCTAATTATTTGTTTTCTTTAAACCCAAAATCAAGGCATGGATGACAAAATTGTTGTCAAGAATTTTTAATTTGATGATTAATTTTAGAATTGACAGCTTGTACAGTAGCATGCATTAGCCAAAGTGCTAATGTATCAGACATCCTATTTTTGCTCTAAATATTTTCAGAACATCTTTGTATGAAAATGACAAGTTTTAAAAAAACATTTATCTTTAAACATTTTATTTCTACTTCATATTACACTTTGCGAAGTATATAATACCCAAGAAAATTGAGCATTGTTTATTACACACCTACAAACTTAAATTTCTACAGCCATTTTTTAAATTGTTAGTCCACTATTCTATTCAATTTTGACTAGTCAACCAAAATGGACAAAGAAAATCAACAATAAAAACTTTGAAAGTAGTGAAACAATAAAACGTCCACATATTTCACAAATATCACAGCTAGACGAGCTAATACTTTTATATGTAGCCATGGTGCAATGTCAAGACACCCAGAAAACAATGCACACATATAGTGCAAGATAAGGACCCAGGTACAGCAGCACAATACACATAGGGAATAGATTGCCATTTAGTAACAAAATCTGAAAATATTGCATACAATCTGAATTACCCCCCCCCCCCTTTAAACAGTTTTTGTTGCAGTTCTGCATCAAACTCAAAAATTATACATTTGGCTCCCATTAAGTCAGAAATCTGTCAAAAGTAAAAAAAATAAATCTCATCCCTGTACACTTTCACATGGTTCGATGTTCAGGTATCAGTGGTGAATTGAAATTACTTATGGTCCCAGTTTCCAATTCTAAGCATTTGGGGAGTCCATGAATCAGAAAGATGCACCCACCTGATGACTGGTAATCCATCTTGATACTGATCAAGAAAGTAATGCTACCAGTTACCTGTTTGAATTGCTATACGACGATATGTTCTCTCCATAAAAAATGAAAAAAGAAATCATAATTTAAATCCCCTTGTTAGGTGCTTAGAGGACACTTTTGAAAAAAAAAAATCTAGTTATAGCGCACAAGCATCATCCTGTTGACACCATGCATGACTCCATCTGTGACAGAGACATCTGCTGATGTCACTTGGGTTACAGTATTAGGACTATCAACACTCTCAAGTACCACAGTTCCTGGAAGAAAACACAGAAATTTAAGTATTTAAACATGACCAAAGTCAATTTTCAACAACTAGTTTGTTAAACATTTCCAATGCATCAAAACAAAAATGGTGTAAAGTCATTTGATAATGTAAAGGTAGTCTTCACATAAAGTAGAATGATTAAGACTACTTTGTGTTGAAACAAGTAATTATAATAAGTTATCTGCTTTATGAATAACACATTTTTTAAATTATTTAAATAATTACTTATTTTTGTATGTTTAAAAGGAGGAGTGCGAATAAGGGGGTAAAAGTGCCCACCTTTGTACATGAAAAATAATTTGTGAGTAAATGGAAAAAAATTGATGCCAAATTAAAGTTGGGGTCTTACACTTTTATGATCCACTTAAAAATTTTTTATATTGAATTTGAAATATAAAAAATTAATGTCAAAATGACCTTGTCAAATATTCATGAAAATGTGTGTTTAAGGGGGGGGGGGCTGAATTGCAATGCTACATATCTTTAGTTATAGTAAGGTGACAACTGTGAAATTTTGTAATTGGGTACAGAAGGTGTCCGTGTAAAAAAGTAAGGCAATATGTGTCCAATCATTGTTTGTGATCAATATTTTGATTGCTTTATTTGCACTTGTAGTGCTGATTAAAAGAAGAATCTTACAGTGACTTGAGGATAAAAGATGTTCATTTTTTATATGAGCCCCTGCCTCAGACAAGCTAATTATTCATGGTTGAAAAGACATGAATATAAGGTGAGATATATGTGAAAATCAGCTTGTCTAAGGGATGGGCTTGATATGTACTCAAACTAAATTGGGACATTTTCAGTCCATATGCTAGCAGGCGGCCATGTTTATTCCTGCCATGAGGTAGCTGCTACATGCTTACATAGGATGGCTAGGCAGATACAGTGAAACTTTTGTACATAAAGAACAACCCAAAATAAAATGTAGGTCTTTGAAAGGAAAATAGGGGATAGAGTCAGTAAAATATATTCAATTACAACCTAAAAAAAAAAGTCATTTCATGTAATGCATGCTATCAAAAAAAAAAAAAAAAAAAAAAAGGGAAATATGGATAGGAAATAGAGTCCAAATACAGTAAGTATATCTTATTTTCATTCTTATTTCTAAGGATTAAAAAAAGATTATATGTAAAATGTGATTCAGATATCCAAAGATATATTAATATATTTATCACATACGTGTAATCATATATAAAGTACTTTTTAGGTGATTTAATTTCATTGTCATACAGATTATTGGCTGTAACTGTTATTATGTGTACTATATTTTCATTTAGTTTTTAGTTATACCTTATCATTATTTTGGTACAATTTATACCTTGTTTATTTTATGGTTTATGGAAACATTCCAAATAGCTGTAGTAGAGTGCTTTTACACTAACTGTTGTTACTGTTACAGCCTTTTGCTTTTAGCATTTTTTACTATTCCTTAGAGCCTTGTGCAAAATGTGTATTGGTTAAAAATACAATTATTTAGACCAACAAATGTTGGTCTGTGAGAAAAGTTAAATAAAATTAATAAATACGCTGAAACAAGTTTTTCTAGTAACAAGACTTTTATACAGTAAGTCAAATCAGTGATGGCTTCTGTGAGAAAATACCGTAATATACCACCCCTCCCTCTCTTCTCTAGGATTAAAAAATAATAATAATTACTTTCCCATTTACTTGTGCCACACCACAATTATTTAACATATAACTCTTTTTTAACATCACAAGACAAGTTTCATTAGAAAAAATTATTTATGTAATATAAATGCTGAAACAGGTTGCTCTGATTCATTAGACTGCATACAATAGGTAAATCCGGCTACCCCCCCCCCCCC